CCGAGTCCCAAGCAGGTCCACAGCCATGAGGGGGAGTTTTGGGGGGTCCCTCACTCCCATGTTGAAGCAGCTTAGTTGTAGGGGAGCCTCCTTTAAAGAGACCCCAGGAGGGGGCACAGCAGAGAGGACAGAGCCAGGCCGCAGATCCCAGAGAGAGAGAGAGAGAGAGAGAGAAAGAGAGGGAGGGAGGGAGGGAGAGAGAGAGGGATTAGAGAGAGAGGGAGGGAGAGAGAAAAAGAGAGAGGAGAGAGAGAGAGAGGACTGAGCCAGGCCCCAGATCCCGAGACCCCTGCTTTCTGCCTCTGGGGTTGGGGCTGGGCTGGGCTGGGGAGGTGGGGGCCAGTCTGCCTCTCCTCCCCTCTCTGGCCCTGCCAATCCCCGGCTTTAGCTGTCTGACGTCGGCCCTCTGGGAGCTGCAGGGGAGGCGCATTTCCTCCTTCCTGAGAGCGAGAGCATCTCGGTCCCTGGCACCTTTCCTCCTCAGAGTAGAGTTTTCAGTCTGATGTGGCCCCGTTTATTGTCACTTCTGTTTTCTTCTCCAGCTGCAGGAAATCCCCGAAGACACCCTGAAGTCAACATCGTGAGACATTTGTCAATGTTTTCTTCAACGTATCTACTGGATGTGGGTCTCTGGTCCTTGGGCCACATGCAGTGCTGGACGGGAATGACTCCTGGACTTGGGGTGGGGGCTGTATTTGGCACGGGGGGCTGAACTGAGGTCGACCACATTCAAGAGAAGAGCCTTTGCCCCTCTGTCATCTCTCTGGCTTTTCCTTTGTTTTTTCTTTTTGGGTTACACCCTGTGATGCACAAGGGTTCCTCCTGGCTCTGCACTCAGGAATTACCCCTGGCGGTGCTCGGGGGACCATATGGGATGCTGGGATGGGGGACCATATGGGATGCTGGGATTCGAACCTGAGTAGGCCACGTGCAAGGCAAACGCCCTACCCGCTGTGCTATCGCTCCAGCCTTGCCTCTCCTTTTTGGATTGATTTTTGTGTATGGTGTGGGACAGAGGTCTGGCCCTAATGGGGCTAAAACATGCCTCTGAGGTTGATTTGCCATTAAAGTGTGAGTTGGTACTTTTCCTGGAAGGCTCTGAAGATGAACAAATCTTGAAGACTTGAAGGAACATGCCGGGGGGACCTCGGCATAACCTGCCTGAGTCGTGCTCATCCTTGCCAGGTGCCAAGAAGCATCTTGTTGAACTCCTCCCTGCCCCAGTCTCCTGGTCCGTAAAGTGGGTTCACACAAGCGTCAACTGCACAGGAATGTTGGGAGCTAAGCCAGGAGTGTGGCTCCACTGTACAGAAGAACGTGAGGTCCAGTAACACACAAAAAAACATACAGAACAGTCTAGAACAGTGGCCGCCGCAGTAAGAGAGGAGACAGCAGGCGCTCACCGGCACTGCTCAGGGACTGAAGGAAGTACCTTCCCCTGGGGCTGGCTTGGGTAGTGTCCTACTCAGGTGTTGTGACAGGGTCCACGGCCAAGAACAGGACAGGGCAGCTGAGACGCACACGCACCTCACTGAGGATCTGGCCTTTGTCTGCCAGGCGGCCCAGAGCCACCGCACCCCACAGGCTCTTGCTGGAACACGCTCTCTCTCTTTTTTTTTTTTTTTGCTTTTTGGGTCACACCCGGCGATGCTCAGGGGTTACTTTTGGCTCATGCACTCAGGAATTGCTCCTGGCGGTGCTCGGGGGACCATATGGGGTGCTGGGAATCGAACCTGTGTCAGTCATGTTGGCTGCGTGCAAGGCAAACGCCATACCCGCTGTGCTATCGCTCCAGCCCCCGCTCTCTCTTTTATACACACACATGCACATGTATGCACACGCATATGCACACACATACATGTGTACATGCACGCATACACACGAACGCACATGTGTGTGCATGCGTGTGCGTTTGTGCATGTGTGCATGCATGTACACGTATGTGTACATGACCGCATACACATGCACGCACATACATGTACATGCATGCACACATGCACAAATGCACACGCATGCACACACATGTGCGTGCGTGTGTATGTGTGCATGTACACATGTATGTGTGTGCATATGTGTGTGCATACATGTGCTTATGTGTGCATGTGTGTGCGTGCGTGTGCGTTTGTGCATGTGTGCATGCATGTACACGTATGTGTACATGACCGCATACACACGCACGCACATACGTGTACATGCATGCACACATGCACAAACACACACGTATGCACATACACGCACATGTATGCACACGCATATGCACACATACATGTGTACATGCACACATACACACGCACGCACATACGTGTACACACATGCACACATATGCACATGCATGCATGCACACACAATGCAGCACCACAGGAGAGAAAGACAGCGACCCAGAGTCTAAAGCCATGGAGAGAGGAAGGCGACGCATAGGCCGGAATCCCCTGCCAGTGTCAGGCTTTCACGGGGTCAAGAGAGTGACCCCGGGGCCATGAAGCAGACTTGGGTGGTGCAGAGGTGAGCATGTGTGCAACAGCATGGCAAGCGTCCAAACCCTGAGACCACAGAGTCCCCAGGCCCAGCCGCCAGCCAGCAGGGAGCAGCAAGTGTGGGGGGGAGGGGGATAATGGAGCCTGACCTAAGAGGAATTGTTCGTTTGCCTTTGGGGTTTCCTTGGGGGGGAGGAAGGGGTTATGTTTTGTTTCTGGGGCCACACACAGGGGTTCCTCCTGGCTCTGCACTCAGGAATTACCCCTGGCGGTGCTCAGGGAACCCTATGGGATGCTGGGAATCGAACCCAGGTTGGCCACGTGCAAGGCTAACGCCCTCCCCAATATGCTATTGCTCCAGCCCCAAGTAAAATCTTCTTTCGCGCTTGGATGTTCAACAGGGTCTACATGCCAGGACTGACTCCCTGTAAACCAATCAAATGGGCTGAAAGGGCAACAGAACGGCCCAGGAAATGAGAGCTGGGTCTCGTTCCGGCAGGAGGGTCTCGGGGTCTCCTCAGCTCCTCGCGGTGTCCCACAAACACTCTTGCTTTCCCTGAGTAGCAAAGGTCTCAGGCAACTCAACGCTTTATTCACTCATTCTCCATAGAACATTGATTTTGTAGCACAGAGAACATGGTCAGAGGTATCCATGCAAACCGAACTCACACTTCCTGAAAGGAGGCCAGAAATAAAGCAGCCAGGATACAACCAGGGAGTTTGCTAAAATACGCCGGAATCACAAAAGCGAATCATCACACACAGCAGCCTTGACATCCGACGCGTCGGTGTGGAGAGCCCAGGAACGGCAGGCGATGAGCACGGGTGGGAACACTGATCAATCCCAGGACGCTTCTGGAATAACACTCTATCCGTTAAGCCTAAAATAAATCAGCAGGAATGCTGACAAGTAACAGGAGACGAGCAGAAACGTGACCGGAGCAAAGACCCGCGACTCCGTCTCCTAAGCCGTAATTCCTTCAGGGCCAGAAGGAGGAAGTGGGGCTAGGTGGTCCTTGGAGGACTTGGCAACGTCAACTTTCCTGGATCCCCAACTCTCGGCTACAACTGCGGCCCTCACGGCAAGTGGGGGCTCCATTGTCGCAGACAATGATCACGGTGTTGGCTGGTTCCAGGATGGACCTTGGGCACTGGCCCGGCCCAATCTTCCGGGGAACAAGCAAAGACGATCAAGAGTAGACTTGGGGAGGTGACCAGATCATCACTGAGGCACAAAGGAGGGGGAGGAGGAGTGGGAGGGGGGAGGAGAGGGGAGGAGGAGTGGGAGGAAGTGGAAGGGAAGAAAAATTATAATGCAAAAACCTCAGGGCAGACCTTCAACATCTTTGGCACGTGGGGTGAGAACTGGCGTGACTCCTAACAGTTAAGTGCTGATGCAATTATTACTATTTTTCTTTTTGGGTCACACCTGGCAATGCACAGGAGTTACTCCTGGCTCTGCACTCAGGAGTCATTCCTGGCAGTGCTCAGGGGACCATATGGGACGCTGGGAATCGAACTCGGGTCAGCTGCGTGCAAGGCAAACGCCCTACCCGCTGTAGTATCTCTCCAGCCCCAACTGATGCAATTATTAACCACCACACTATTACCCACCAACTGCCCTTGGGGGATGGATAGGCACTAAAAAACGGTCCAAACTAGAACTCAGTTCAGACCAAAAACCATCCCAGGGCTCGGGAATGTCACCGGAAGTGAGGGCGGCATGGTTCTCAGTAGTTGGGGGCTCCACTGGCGAGGGCCTTTCTCTTGACCACACCCCCCCCCCTCCATTCCAGTGAAGTCTCTGATAATCGCTTCCATGGAAACAGCGAGGAAAGCTGGCTGGGCCCCTTTCAGGAAGCCCCAGCCCCACCACTGCCCTTACCACAGGGCTCGGTTTTCTGATTCAGAAAGGCGGGGAAAGTTTGGTTTATTTATTTATTTGTTCTCTTTTTTGGGTCACACTCGGTGATGCTCAGGGGTTACTCCTGGCTCATGCACTCAGGAATCACTCCTGGCGGTGTTTGGGGGACCCTATGGGATGCCGGGAATCGAACCCGAGTTGGCCGCATGCGAGGCAAACACCCTACCCACTGTGCTATCACACTCCAGCCCCCAGGCAGGAAAATTTTGGGTTTGCATCATCTCCCTGTTTGAAAGTCAGGCAGACGTCCTGGTCTCACGTGATCCAAGCCTTTTCCTTCCCAAGAGTCCTACGGAATTCCCGTCTCGGTGATATTTATTTCATCCCAGATGTTTACCTACGCTTCGGATCCCAGAAACAAATCCAATGGCGGTACAAAGCAAAAATCATTAAAAACAAAAAACAAACAAACAAAAAAAACACGCTTTCTTAGCAAGCCCGATTGCTGCATTCAACCACTAAAAGAATATTTTCTCTTCCACACGAGCGATGGCTGGAAGCAAGGGTGTGAGCCTTGAACCTGCTTCCCCGTCTCGAACCCAGGCTGACTGCTGAGAAAATAGAAACTCGGAGAATCAAAGAGTAATTCCTGCTTTGTAATGTAGGACAACAGACACGGATTTGCTTCTTGAACTGTCAAGTTATTTTTATTTACTTCTTTGATGCATTTTGTGGCACGAGCGATGGAAGCAGGAACGTGGCTTCCCCAGGGAGCCTCACCCCTACACGTGACTGACACGCCTGAAACAGGGCCAGGTTCAGCCTGGGTCTCGCCCTCCACACTCCACAGCGCCCTCCACACAAACCTCAGTTCCTGTTGGTCTCTGGCCGCACCCAGCGGTCTCCAGGGTCACTCCCTAGGGTGCTGGGGTCGAGCCCAGACCTCTAGCTGGCAAAGTCTTCGTTCCGGGCCTAGAGTGTCACCCCTGGCCCCGTTGCTAAACTCTGAAGTCGTGATAAAGTTCCACCATGAAGCGGGAGGAACGAGGATTCAGTTCCAAGAGAGTTCGGCTGGTGGAAGGCAGAGCATGGCTGAACGGAAAATACTGGAAAATACTTGGCTTACTCAAGCGAATCCTTCCACTTGCTACGCAGAAACTAAGGCAGAATCTCGTCTGTAAGTGGCCGCTGAGGGCCTGATTTCTGTACCGGGGCGTTCCCTTCCCTTGCGACATTCTCTCGTACAGCTGTGTGGCTCCTTTCCTATCTGTTTCCAGGTATCTAGAACTTGGGCTTCTCTAAATATTTTCTTATACGTTCCTACTTAGTTCAGGAACTTAGAAGCAATCTGTTCTCTGGACCGGCCAACTCTGACTGCTGCAATCAAGAATATGAAAACAAAAAACCAAAAACCCAAACATGTCTGTGAGTGACACCTTTAGTGTCTTCACTTGTCCAAATACTGATAATTTATTTTTTTTTTTAAATGTTTTTGGTTTGGGGGCCACATCCAGCAGTGCTCAGGGCTTACTCCTGGCAGGGCGCAGCGGACCATATGGGATCCTGGGAATCGAGCCCGGGCAAGACAAGTGCCCTACCCGCTGACCTAGGGCTCCAGCCCTGCTTCTCGGACCCTGATGCTGCAGGGAAGCCGGCCTGTAGCCATTCCGGAAAAACAAGGCTGCCTTCCTCCCCCATTCCTCAAAGGACAGCTGAAGAGAAACGGACAGGAAAGGAGAAACGCGAAGATCTCAAGCCCAGAAACTACCATGGGCGGCTTCACTAAAACACTGAGTGTGGGGGAATCTTCCTGTCACTAAAACACTGAGTGTGGGGGAGTCTTCCTGCCCCCCACGGTAAGGCACAAGGGTTGGCGGCGTCAGAGGGAGTCCCCGTCCGCGGGGTCAGTATTCGGCATCGATGCGCCTGGCGATCGTGTTGAGCTGAATGTTTGAAGCGCCCTCGTAGATTGTACCTGAAAGAAAGGGACAGTTAGGGGTGGACCCCAGGCGAGAGAGAGACGGGGGGGGGGGGGGAGAGAGAGAGACATCCCCACCCCGCAGAGACTGTGCCCGGACCGTGTCCCCCCACCGAGGCGGAAGCTGCGTGTGCCTTGGCACAGAAATGCCAACAAGCTGAGCCGCGCGGACACCCGCGGACAGAGCCAGTCGCCACCTACCGATCTTGGCGTCGCGGAAGAACTTTTCCACGGGGAAGTCCTTGGTGTAGCCCACGCCGCCCATCCACTCGATGCACTTGCTGGTGGTGAGCCCAGCAATCTGCAAGACAAGCACCGTGCCGAGGGACAGCCGCCACTGAGGCGCCACCGCCGCCAGCTCCCGGAAGGACCAACACATGGACGGGCGGATGGACAGACAGTCGGACGGACAGACAGATGATGGCCAGATGGATGGACAAATGGATGGATGGATGCATGGATGGATGGCCAGATGTATAGATGGATGGATGGATGGACAGATGGATGGACAGATGTAGGGATGAATGGATGGAGAGATGGATGGATGGATGGATGGATGGATGGATGGATGGATGGCTGGATGGACAGACAGATGAATGGACAGATGGATGGATAGGTAGACAGACAGATGGATGGACAGACGGATGGACAGATGTAGGGATGAATGGATGTATAGATGGATGGATGGATGGATGGATGGACAGACAGATGAATGGACAGACGGATGGATAGGTAGACAGACAGATGGATGGACAGACGGATGGACA